TTAGCCTATGCCTTTCCCATCTTAACCACCACCTATGTCCCATGAAGGGTAAAATCACCCTACTAGGGGGTAATGACTACATACAAGTGCACAGAATATGTTTAGTTTTGTTATAGAACTTTAGAGTTTGCTCCTGTGGTTGGAGGTAACAGGTTAATGGTTACTGGAGTTTATGAGTATTAAGCTGTACTTGAAACTACTGTTATTACTAACTGTACTACTTTAGCCAGGATGTCGTACATGTTATAAACAATTAATCTCCCCTGCATGATAACCCTGATTGTATGAGATCATAATCATTACCACAGTCTAATACCAAGGAGTTGAGAGCTGAGCCAAATAGTAATTTTGCATACTTTACAAATTGGGAAGGTAGGATCTTGGGACAGCTGTAAGAAACTACCTAAATATAGAAGACATCCTTGAAGAACAGATATCCTCTAGGGAAAGTTAAATACTAGTGATAAAGCTATGCATCATAAGAAACTGGCAAGTGTCAACATAGAAAACAAAATAAAAAGAGATAAGAGAAAATGACAAAATGCAGAAGAAAAATGCAACCCAGACCCCCAGCCCACTCAGGACAAGCCTAGAATTTAAGGTGATATATGAAATTGGAAGTCAAATACTTGAACACTCTGAAATGATAGCAATAGAAATAAAAAGACAAGTGGAAAAGGCTATAGAGAAAATAATCTCTCAGGTACATAAAGAAATGATGCTTAAAATCAAATATATTAGAGAAGATACAGATAAAAAATATATGAGCTTAGAAAAATGATGGAAATGAAAAATGCCCAACATAGGAAAGAAATGGAATCCATGAAACAGATCCAAACAGAAATTCAAGATATTAAAAACCTCCATTGTAAGTATGTGCAAGAGACTGAATGAAGGAGAGGGTAGAATTTCAGGTCTTCAAGACAGAATTACAGCGAGTGATCATGAAAATAAAGATATTTTAAAAACATCAAGAGACCATGAAAATCAATCCAAAAGCTACAAGATGAAGTAAAGAACAATAACATAAATTTGACTGGGATCAATGAGAAAGCTGTAGACAGCAGAAATGCCATAAAAAACTATTTACAGAAATAATGGCAAAAAACTTCCCAAGGGTGGATAAAGAATTTGACGTACAAATAAATGAACCATTTAGAAATTCAAAGAGTCATGACCAAAATAAAACTACACCAAGACATATAATGATCAAGATTCAAGAAATTCAGCACAAGAACTGAATATTAAGAGCTGTAGGAGAAAAGAAACAGATCACTTATAAAGGAAAGCCCATCAAAATCATGGCTGACACCGCAACACAAAACCTTTATGTCAAGAAGAGCTTACAGTGATGTATTTCCACTCCTGAAAGAAAACTTCCAACCCAGACTGATGTAGCCTGCAAAACTATCTTTCAAAATTAATGGAGAAATAAGATACTTCCATGAAAAAGAACCACTGTGGCGGTTATGACCGCCAAAACAATCCTACAAAGAGTACTGAAAGTTATTCTAGACAGAGATAAAAATGACAACATTCTGAGAACAACAACAGAAACAAACCACTAGGGTGACAAGCAGTTAAACAGAGGGGAAAAGCAGGAAACCAACCAAAAGAAAATACCACGACCAAGATAAGCCAATACATATCAGTTATAACCATCAATGTAAAATGCCTCAATTCACCAATCAAAAGAAACAGACTGGCAGAGTGGATCATGAAACAAGACCTAACAAAATACTGTACACAAGAAACATATTTAACACAAAAAGAAATTTATAGACTAAGTATCAAAGGATGGAAACAAACTTCCATGCAACAGCAACCCAGAAAAAAGCAGGGTAGCTATTTTGTTCGCAGACAATGTGAACTCAAACCAAGAATGATCAAAAGAAATAAAGAAGGTCACTACATACTTGTTAGGGGAAAACTTCAAGAGAAAGAGATAATGATCATAAATATATATGCACCAAATACAAGAGCTCCCAACTATATAAGACAATAATTAATAGACATGAAAAATCAAATCATCAATAGTACAGGTGTAACAGGAGACCTTAATAGGGCATTGTCACAAACAGATCAACTAGATGAAAAATCAGCAAAGAAATAACAAAAATGAAGCAAACCTGTGAACAAATGGGCTTAGTGTATGTTTTTAGACTATTTCCCCCAACATCATCAGAATAAACATTCTTCTCAGCTGCGCATGGAACATTCTCTAAGATAGACCATATGCTAGCCCACAGAACCTGCTTAAGTAAATGAAAAGGAATTGAAATTATCAATGAATCTTTGGTTGACCAGTATTGCATGTCTATATCTGTTTTCATGAGAAGCCACTTTGAAGATATCAATATGTAATACAACCACCATTGTTAATTCCCTACCACTTTGTTTGTAACTCTGTATTGTCTGTATTGTGCTTGTGATATGTTGTAAAATGTTGTATGTCTGTTAATGTTTCCCTCCTTTTATCCTTAAAATAAAAAAAAGAAATTATCCCATGAATAATATCTGATCATAGTGCAATGAAATTAGAAATGGTAAAGGAAACTGCAAAAACTCCAGAAACACATGAAAGTAAACAATACCCTCCTAAACAACCAATGGTTCTGAAATTAAATAAAGGAAGAAATTAAATACTATCTACAACTAAATGAGAATTCAGATGCCACATACCAGAACCTATAGGATGCTACGAAAGCAGTCCTAAGAGGGAAATTTATAGTGGTGAAATCTGACATCAGGAAGTCAGAATAAGCACAAATAAACAATCTAATGCTGCACTTCAAACTTCTGGAAAGTGAAGAGCAAGACAAACCGAAAGCCCATAGAAGGAAAGAAATTATAAAGAACAAGCAGAAATTAACACAATGGAAACATGAAAACAATACAAAGAATAAATGAATCAAAGAGTTGGTTCTTTGAAAAAATAAATAAAATTGGTAAGCCCTCAGCCAGCCTTATCAAAAAAAGGAAAGGCTCAAATTCATGCATTTAGGAATGATAATAATGATAAGGGTGAAGTCACTACAGATCCTGTGGAAATTCAGAAGGTCATCAGTAAATACATTGAAAATCTTTACTCTTGTAGGATGGAAAACACAGAAGATATGGACAGATTCCTAAATACATATGAATTACCAAAGCTGAATCGAGAAGATATAAGCTCTTCAGTTTAAACTCATCCTCCCTGCTCCTGTGTTTTGTAGTTCAATGATTTTCATCTCCAGTCTTGTTTAGAACATAGGAGTCCAACCAGAATCCTAACTTTCCTGTATCCTCCACATCCAATTAGTCAAGAGGCCTAATTATTCTGTCTTATTCTTAAAATTAATTTCATCTGTTAAGACCTTCAGTTTTATCACCCACTATCAAGTTGCTCTGCCTCCAGTTTTGTCTTCCTCAGATTAATCTTTCACATCGTGTTAGAAGTGGTTTTGATATAGGGAAAAAAACGGGAAAAAAACTCTCAAACTGAAAGATATCTGGGACGAGTTCATATTCTCTAAAATCGAAGAAAGAATTTTAGGAACAATGAAGGTTAAGAGCAGAATATATTTATTGAGGGAATGAAAGCTTCTGTTCGAGAGAGGGACAGAAGTAGGGCCCCGAGTGGGTTGCCCCAAGACTCTGTCTTTTCTAGGGATTTTTATAGAGCAAATCCAGGAGGTGAGGCAGGGCCAAGGTGGAAAACATGGGAACTCACTAGGTGGGCATGGGGTGGGACAAAACTATGGTCAAGCAATAAGATTACAAGTATAATTGTTCAGGTTAAATTGATTAAATTCGGATCAAATAGGGAAGCAAGTCACATAGCAAGAGGACATGAATACAGAACAGGGGCCTTTCCTGTAGGGGGTTGGATTAGTGACTCTTACTGCCTTTTTCAAGGTGATTGCTACCTGTTTAGAATATCAATCCCTGAGGTCCCATCCCTAGGGAAGTATGTGGGTGCATCTGTTTAATATTTTGTCCACAGCTGGAGGTGTCTGTCTCCCTCACCGTTGCAAGGTATCTCATCTTTCGCACTGGCTCCATCGAGGATCTGGCCCTGTCTGACTGTCTATGATATTTTTAATATTTCGATCTAGCTCAACTGCCTGTAACAGTTCTAAAATTTAGGTCTGCAAGTGAGGTGGGCCCACTTAAAAGATCTTCAGTGGGGCTGGGGATTTAGCTCAGCAGCATAGAGCCTGCCCCTGCAAGCACAATGTCGTGAGTTCAATTCCCGGAACTGGGGGAGACCTTCAGTGGCTTACTGCTGCTTTTAAGTGCTCAACCCCTTAATAGTCACCATACAGAGGCCTTGATTTCACTCTTGCTTCAGCTGTCCTGTTTTGACATACCCAGCAAGGTGTCATGATTCTTAATTCATCAATAATGTACCTGTGCATATGCTGTTACCCCCCATACATGTGTTTTTTTCTTTTTTGTCTTTTTTGAGACAGTGTCTCACTATGCAGCAATCCTCCTGCATCAGTCTCCCAGGTGCTAGGGTTACAGGTGTGTGCCACCACGCCCAGCCACCCCTAGTTTTGCTTCACAACATATGATGCTATGGTGCTGTGAGGGCCACTTTATCTGTCCCTCACTGCATCTAGTTTTTTCAAATGAGGGATTACATTTTACATCTCTGCATCCCACCCTCAAACATCCTGCCTGTATGTGCTTTACTCCCCACTTTTGGGGTATTGCAATGTGTGTGTGTGTGTGTGTGTGTGTGTGTGTGTGTATGCGTCCGTAAATATGCACTCATGCAGAGTATACATTTGAGTGTCTGCTGGCCACAAAGCACATCAGGTGCAGGCACAAAAGCTGCATTGTTTTAAATCAGGTTTTAACCATCATCACCATGGAAACTTACTGAGCAGCCCACCACCTCAGCGTCAGCTCTTAGACCTCATTGCGCAAGGGCAAACCACCTCCACCTCCAGGCTGGGACGATGAGGCGGGGCCAGTGACTACCTCCGGGGTAGAGGGCAGGCACAGGCGCAGATGCAAGAACTGCTCATCCTCCAGCCCTCTCCATTTCCAATCAACTGCTGAAAGACCGCTGGGGAAAAAACAAACAAACTGAACAAGCCACACTTTCTTGGCTGCAACATGGAGTTTTCCAGTGGGACGGATGAGCCGGTGAGGCGCTGCTCTGGGTTTGGCGGGGTAGAAAAGTGGAACAGATTAGAGCCTTGCATTCTCACACCGCCCCCGTGTTTTTTCCTCTTCTCAGGCTTCCGCGGAGGTAGTGTCCATCGCAAATGCTCTTTCTCTGCCAGCAGAGTCTTACGGCAATGATGTGAGTATGACTCACCCACAGCTCCCATCCATAAAGGGAGCCTGAGAGCTTTGCAAGGCCTGCCACTCAGTTTTACACCCCTTCCCTGATATCTTCTGCAGACGCGGTGCACGTCCGCCCAGATCTTCACTTTCTTTCAGTTCATGCTAATCTCGGTTCACAAGCGGAGGACTAATCTATGTGAACATGGAAATGGTTCCCTAACTTTCCTATGCTTTAGAATCACCTGGGAGGCTTTTAAAGACCTCCCGTGTTTGGATTACAGTTTATGTCATAATGTTTATGTTTAGGTCACAATGTCTAGGAGATGGGAATCAAGAACAAATATTTTTTAAAGTCCCGGGGTGATTCCATTGTGTATCCACAGTTTGTAGTGTTCCTGGTTTAGCCCTTTATGCAGAAAGCATATGACATACTTTGAGAATCAAAAGGTTGGTGGAAATGTAACAGAAAAACCAATATCAAACCAAATGGAAGACTCTTTGCACCAAGGAGTTGGCAACTTTTATTGCACTAGTGGGCTGGGGAATCCAGAGGCCCAAATCACCAACGCTGAGTCAGGTTTGAGTTCAGTTTAAATAGCGTTTGTGAGTGGGAAGTACAAAGCTCATAGCACGTTATTACATGATTGGGTACATGGGATACAAGAATTATGTCATATATTTTTATATGTATGACAGGTTTACTTAAAAAGAATTGTTTAACCTTCTGGGAAGGAGGGGAGGGGGATGTGAGTGGAGCAAGTAGAGTTAAATGGGTCCTTGCCTGGGCCAGTCTGTCCTAGACATGAAGTCCTTGAAGCAGGTTAGAAACAAATTATATTTTTCTAAGGAAAATACAAGCTGGACACAGTCAAGTTGGCCCGGTGCATTATCAAAGAGCAGATAGTTGTGGATTGACAACTGGTGGGCAACTTGTAACACCCAGCTGCACTTAATAAGCATGGTGCTGCATGTGGAAGGCCCACGTGAAGATTGTTGCCAGCAGCATAAGAGGCAGAACTGGAGAAGAAAAAAGGCTGTTTGGAACTGGTAGAAGTTGTTGGGAGCCTGTTGGAAGCTATAAGGTGCTGTTGGTTTTTTGGAGGAGCTTGTCATGCTGGCTTTCCTGATGAACTCAGTTGTTTTCATCCTGCAAGGAGCTTGGACCCTTAATGGCACTAAGAATAGCTTCGGTTCACTTTGAGGGAGCTTTGGTCCTCACTTTGAGCATCACTTCCTGGATCCTGAGGGGAAGGTGGTGCACTGCTCATGCTCCTGGAGAAGCTTGTTGCATTGGCTTTCCTAATGGGAACTCAGCTATCCTGACCCCTGGAGGAGCTCAGGACCTCACTGTTGATGAGGACAGCTGTGGTGACTTTCAGGGGAGCTCTGGTTCTTATTTTGAGCATTGCTTCCTGGCTCTAGTGTAGATCCCTCAGCCTGCTAGCACAGACCCTTCATCCCCCTGGCACAGACTTTCTAGCTTCCACCACTGACCTTTGGGTCTTCCTAGTGCAGATCCGTGAAATGGGCCTGCATGAGACATTGTAATGGGCTCTAGGCCTCCAGCTGGACTCATGGGAGGCATTGTTATGGGCTCTAGGTCTTCAGCTGAACTCACGGAGGACATTATCATGGGATCCAGGCCCTCAGTTGAATTCTTTGCTATTTAGTGTGTGGACAGATTTCCTGCACTCTCTTGTATATGATTCTTTGGATGACTGCTATAAATAATATAAAATACGTGTCCTGTATTATATTGTTCACCTTGCAAATGACCCCAATTCATGACAATAGTCAAGGCTAACTATGTGATAGGCAACATGGGCATAGTCACAGGCTATGAATTGATTTCTAACTTTTGCTATAATAGGCCTACCAGTCTGCTATTCTATAAGTGTGCCCTTACAAAAATAGTAGCAAGAACCAAATAAGAATATTATGCGTTCATAATCATTGGGTCAGGGTATAAGATCCTCTAAGGATGGAGGCAGTAGAAGACTTTACTGAGGAACTGGAAGTTGAACTGGATCCTCAAAGTGTAAGTGGATAAAGGACACAGATTGGCAGGTAGGTGAAGTAAGTGCATGGTTTAGGCATGTAGGTAAAATTCAAATAGCTTTTTCTGTATGTGAAGTAGATCCATCCACCTGTTGTAGTGGGAGATTCCAGTGGAACAAGTGGTAGCTGGTTGGTAACACTTATAATGGGGCCTGCTTCATGAGACTGAGTCATTTCTAGGCATTACAGGGTGGGAGTTGACTGTATAATAAACAGAAATGGTGATTATGAAATGCTACATGCAAAAGTGAAAAGTGGTTTCACGTTCATTATCTTTGTCTTCCCAACAACTCAGTAGTCTAAGTGGACATATTACTTAACTATTACAATGATTAACTTAGTCCTGAGAAGCCAATTTATATACTGCCTCATGTAGTCTCCCACACTTTGACTAGTTGCTAGGAAAAGATAACTGGTGGTTCATTGTGTTTATTATGCTGTGTAAATATGTTCTTTTGATTGTCATAAGGAAAAAAGAATGAGTATGTTATGCAAATCTGTCAGTCCAGTTTTTATCCTTTGACAGTAACAGCAATGTTGGTGCCCTTTTGAGCACTAACTAGACATCCACAGACTTCTTTGTTTGTTACCCAGTAGCAGGACTGGGAAATTACTGACCTGGTATTCCTCACTCCTTTGCAGCCAGATATTGAGATGGCTTGGGCTATGAGAGCAATGCAGCATGCTGAAGTATATTACAAGGTGAGCT